AATTTATGAATTTACTCAGATTTATGTTAGTTGAAACACGTTATCTGCTGTGCAAAATACATCAATCTTGGCATAAGGACCACTCAATAATCACAACAATTTAATTTTAATGAGAACCAGTCTTAGCGTACTCGAATTATAATAATTTCAATACTTAATGGCAATCGACACTGTTATCATATGTTACAACAGAATTAGTGTAATTTAGACTGCAGTTTTTCAATGCATCTAATGAAACCAATTTCTAATTATTTATTTCAATTAGGCCATTATAGGATGTCGATCAGTCCTCCTAGTGAAGCTATTTGCTTGTTCGAAAGTACACTGTATGAAGTTCCCAAAAAAGTACGGATAGTGCAAGTAATCAGTGCAAAAATATAATTTCATGATTGAACTCTAAATACTATATTATCTAAGGTGTCAAGTTTCTGAATTGATAATGATGAGCAAGTTTAATTGGACTCAGTTTCTTATATACGAGGATTTAAAATCTAGCTGATCTCAACTTGATTATTAAACTTACTGTAGTAAATTTAAATACAATTTAATCCTTTATTTCATGTTGACATCAGCATCGTTTCCATCTACAGCCCTCTTCAATACAACTTATTGTCCATTATCACAATTACCATATTCAAAGCACTTTGAAAATATACATGTTTTGAAAGCCATCAACTCCAGTACCTCGGTGACGTAATCTGACCCCAGATAGCATTAATCCAAATGTCTAAGTTTCTAGTGAGAATAAACGGCACTTTACATTTATAGAGAAGATATATACAGAAGGATTACTTTTAAAAATATAAGAGTTTATTATTATAATTATGTCTGTAAAGAGTGAGTTCATTCAATTCTGAAAACCTTAAGGTGCTCATTTATAGTTTTTATTTGATGAGCGGACTCGGATGTATTATCAGGAATTTAGCGACGTATTTTTCTACATCTAAAACAATAGAAAAAAATCCTTCGGGAAAATTAAAGACTGTTAATTCATTATTAAAGCGTCAACTTGGTCCTTTTGTACGCGTTATTTCATAGCGTCTAGTGCGGTCAATGCGTTGGCGATGTAACGCAATGTTACGATACTACACTAACTACACCTCGGGCACCATTACGAGGTGGACACATAAAACACAATCAATTGAAACACCGAGACCAGCCATATAAAAGAGATTTATTTCATATGCTCTTGTGACAGACTTTGGTTGACGGCTTCGTGATTTACAGGCAGGAAATCAGTTAAGTTTTTGGGAAGGACATCTTAATTTCTGACTAGACTTTTCATCCTCATCTAAAGCAGATGTTATCTATCTACCGGTCCACACTAAGATATATTTAATAGGTACCAATTAATTACTATTTTAATGTCGATCGCAATCATTAAGCCAATATCTATAACAGTTTGTTAAGTCGACATTAATAATAAACAACCATTTAATATTATTGGTTCCCAAGCCCTGTATAGTTGTATACTCACATAAAAATATCTCTCCGTAATGAGCAAATATGACAATCATTATCTTAAATCGTGTTTAATTCTAGGAGACTCGCGGTGAGGATTAAGTACTAACAGTCATTGTAGCGAGCTGATCCACTCGCGAAATGAAGTGCGCTTTAATGTCATATTGCTTTTAAGAGTTTTTTTATTGCAGCTACCGGTTATTTGCAGTAGATAATGATATACCCAGCCGGCTAGCGGCTGCGGGCTCTGCTCCTAAAAAGATCTAATTGCGTCCTATAGTGTCGCATCGTTTATGCGACCTTTAATTTGTTGATGCACGGGAGCCCCAGCCTTTATATCCACAATTTTTTCTCCAAACCAGTTTACTGTCTTCTCTTAATATGTCAAAGTAACACGCTCCGAGTCATTAACTTTGTAGCGCTTCAAATAGGTTTTTCTACGCTTTTTGTGAGAGCAAAGGCGCTTTTTTCAACAGCTCGCTAGTTAAAATAATTAGAGGATTCATTAACTATGAGGAAGGGTGTCCACTGGAACATGTCTGCGACTTATTTTACAACTGCTTTGTTGCTTTTCTTATCAATATTTTTTCTGCTGGGTGAGTGCATATTGTTTATTTTTTCTTCTCCCTGGAGCTGGCAATGAAAACCGGCTTGTTTTGCATTTTTATTGAAGCTTGCTTTGTTTTTCAAATTAACAATTTCCCGTCCTGATCCTCTGCTGCCGTCTGTGTCGCAAATGTGATGTGAATAGACGCGCGTTGAGGCAATGTTAATGAAATTCCATTCATGGGCATAACTGGTTGATGCGGCATATAAAAATGCTCGCCTAGTTAATTATAATGTTATCGTGCGGGGTGTGTCGCCCCCGGCGGCGGTGGCAGGGTGCGCTCGCCCATCTCACGAGAACGCCACAACAATGTTGAGAAACGTGACGGGCTTATGTGATCAATAGTTGCATGAAAGTCGAGAACAATGACTATGAGAGCTAGTCGCGAGAAATTGTCGCGGGTCATAGCGTTTTTGCACAATATTGTGATCTCCGCGGCCGCTTGAGCGCCCCAATAAAATGCTGATTAACATTTTTCTTGGGAGCAAAAACCTAATCAATTATAAATGTCGCGTTAATTTAGGTATTTAATCTTTTTTGAATGTGATTCAGTGAGAAAAATCCACGGGTACATAATATGTTATTAAACAATGGTTGCTGATAGATGTGGTGTATAAGGCTTGAGCACGTTGTATGGAGATTGATTTTATCCAAATCAACAACGTACCCTTTTACTGAAACACCTTTTGTTTTAGTATAAACAACCAAGTGCATAAGAAATGTGTATAAGTAGAAAACTCCAAAATTTTTACTGTATTCTAAAAAGGACTGATTTGTGGAGGTCGTTTCGAAAACAATAGCTTTTAATTGGTTTAAAATCACATGATTTGGGAAATTTTATTGTAACGGTTGTGTAGAGAAAGCAATTGGCTCCAATGGTATATTTATTGGCGCTATTTATCTGGCCAGAGAATGGCGGGAGCAAACAAGTTTGCGTGGTGGTAAAAACTCGGCTGGTGCCGAAGCGGGAATGTATCGGCTCCCGGCGACTCATGGAGGAATTTCATCCGGAATCTCTAATTAAAACTTTATCTAGTCTCTCTCCTGATTCGTGGAAAACGTTGTATTGAACAGGCAGAACTGCCATTTCGAACAGAGCTAGTTATTAAAATATTTTAAATTGAAGACGTCATCGGTATTCCGTCCGGTTGCCCGCTCCGTTACATTTTATTCTATTTGATCGGTTCCAGTTTAATCAGCAGAGTAGTTTACCGCTGGGTATTATCAATGTCAAAATGCAATTATCGTTAAGACATTGTACGGTAATAAACGGTTCGTATCTTAGCCGGATGAGTGCTAACGGTGCACCGGTCTGCATCATCTGTAAGGGTTACAACTATATACGGCGGACAGTAAAAAGGTGGCTGGCATTACGCAGCAGACGTTTATTTGATATTTGTGTGTCAATTAACATTTTTCACAGCAGTTAATTTGCGGATAACTAGACTACTAAAAAGGGTTCTTGGACAAATATATTATATCAGATACACGTTTATAGAATTCGTCGAAACTTGCCTTAACACATGCACCTAGTTTGTGGAAACGTGGGAGTTATGATTTATGTATTTAATATCTAGAACCGATTAGATCGATAGTTAATATCCGTTTTAATTTATCTAATTTGTTTCAATGACGTAATAATTTAAATATTAATAATTTGCAACCATTTTAAATTTATAATCATCGACAATGATTATGTTTTTTAAATTAATTATAACAGATCTTATTTCATACGAAATGAATATTTTGTATTTCGGATGTTCAACATTTTAGCACTAGCTATGTTTGGCGACTCGAAAGTGCAAATTCCCGTCGCATCGCGTTTCGATGACGTGCTCGTCTCGTCGTGGTCATCATTCGCGACCACTCGTTTCACAAACTCCGAAATGCTAAAAATGGCATAAATAATTTATACGTGGCTTGCTCGAGCTCCGTTTTTGTCGCGGCCGACCTGTCCACTGATGCATTTATAATATAAGGGTGCTTTTTGCATCGTCCCCCGGCGGCACTGGAATGCAACCGCTAAAATTGATCATGTTTCAAACGTGAGCTGAAGGAGTAATGCTGGTGGTGCTTGCTGACTGCGGTCAGGCTAAAATGTTGCGGTTCAGTCTAATGCATGCGAGTAATGTGTATGTATTGTAGAAGCGGATCGGGCCCGTGATTCGTGCACATGGCATTAGTTATGCCTGTCATTACTACATACCTATTTAGATCTAAACCATGATGCTACATTAGACGGAATAGTTACGATCAATTTGACATAAGGCTGACTGGAAATACTTGTCTGATGAATACCATTACCATAAAATCATAGTCCATTTCTAAGATTGTTTTGAGAGTAAAATTAAACTGCCGGAAAGGAATGATAACAATGAGCTCTCCAAAGGTTTTGGAACAATATCCTTATCTAAATATTTTAACTATCAATTAGAAACTTGGGGAGTTTTCTGTTCTCTTATTCTAGTTACGTATTATTTTTGTCTTTATTTTATTTTAAGTATTTTTCTAAATAAAGTATAACGAAAAAATGTTTCAAGCTCCTGCTTCGTGTCGTCTCTTTAAATATTTTTACGTTTGAATACTTTTGCCAAAACGAGACCTAATTAAAGCAACTTTCTGCAATAATTTGTTTACAATAAAACATCTGCGCTATAATTAATTGAACTTTAAAACTGTCAAAGGAATTAAGCGTCCATCATTTGTCTTGTGCTGTGTTAATTGAATTAAAACCATAAGACGATAATTATAGGTCTTATAATTGTTGGTGCTGCTACCATGACATTACAATTTGCAATTATTTCAGTTTTTTATGAGAAACATTTTGTTTATAAGTTATTACGAATTAGTATTCTGGATAAGTATCGATTTGACGACATGTTTGTCCATGTAATTTGTAGAATAATGTTAACATGCATTTTTTTTGTTGCAGTAAACAGGCAGTGTTCGATGGCAAGAGGGCGATAAGAGGAGGGATACCGTTTGTTTTCCGTAAGTAAAGATAAATAATAATAATATATTTTTAATAGTAACTTGTATAAATAAAAAACCAGTGAATGAGTATACGGCAGTATACTATTGTTTTCAAGAACATCCTTTCTGTTCATTTGTCATCCTTGTCGTTCGCTGTTACAAAAGTTAAGTCATTTAAATTTGGTCCTTTTGTACTAAAAGGACCACATGTTCTGTTACAGTTTAAATGGGTGTTTTTTTTTTCAATATTATATTTGTAATAGTTTACAAGTAGTCTTTTGGTGCCTTTTTATTTTTTAAAGTAGCTCGAGTGCTTAACCGCCCCCTTCTCATGCATGAGGGTTCGAAACCTGGCAAGACCAACGTGACATTTTCTGAGTTATATGAAGTTTCTCGTCCTTATTGCAAAACAAGGTTTTTCTTTAATCTTAGTCTAAACCATTGTACCAGTTTTTGTATTTCAAATTGAAGGTAGGTGAAAATAAGATTCAAAGTAGTAAACCTGACATAATGGTTTAAACCAAGACACATTTAGGGTCTAAGTCTATTTAGACACTGTCGTACGGTGAAGGAAAACATCGTGAGGAAATCTGGGCTAATAATTTCTAATTAAAAGTTTGAAATCGCCAATGCGCCTTGAGACTTTGTGTTATTAAAGCTTAAAGATTCTTCGTGTGAGAAGAAGCCTGTTTTTCAGCTAGCTAAGATGATGATTACACTAGTTAGAGAATTTCAATTCGTCTTACTATTACTGACGTGATTACTGACGTGTTGATAGAAACGTGGTTACCACATCGACGGCTCTACCACAGTCATGCAGCGCCCTCTGATAAACCTGAACCTTTTTAATTACCATCTCATTTACACATGCAAGGTTCACACCCGGTTTCCGAAAGGCCGATCAATGTTAAAATCAATTTAATCTCTTGTCAAGTCATCTTATTGCTTGACTGAATTATCAACAACCAATCAGATGACTTGACAAGAGATTTAACAGGAGATTAGTTAATTTTAGCGTTGACAAGCCTTTCAGAAACCGGGTGTAAGTGTGGGAGAGCCAAGCTTCCGCACGAATGGGTCGGCTCGACCGGAGTGATACCACGGCCTCACAGAAAACCGGGGTAAAACAACCTCAGCGTTGTGTTTCGTCGTGTGAAAATCCAAAACCTCTATCCGCTTTTTTTCGGCCTGTTTCGGATTTTCACAACGCATTCGTAACTACTGTGTTGAGGGTTTCCTTGGGCAGTGCTGGTTGCTTACCATCAGGTGATCCGTCTGCTCGTTTGCCGACAAATACCATAAACAAAGTTTGGTTATATCAATAGTCAACATTATTTAATAACATATTGGGTTAAACAAGTTCGTTTACAATTCCAGCTCAGTTCGGACAATGGGCCTTCGGTCCGCAGCATGGGTTCGCCCGGATAGCTCGCTGGCACGTCGAGAAGATGCCAGAGCGGCTGCCCAGCGGCGACGTCGAAGCTGTCTTCAGCCTCATGGATGACGACTTCACTAGGTCCATGTGGCATTTCCAGTTAGTAACATTTTTATTTTTTATACTAGCTTCTGTCCCGCGGTTTCACTTGCTGCTCGGCCCCTACAAATCGTAACGTGCTGTTTTATATCCTAAAGTCTTCCTCGATAAATATAAAGTAACAAACTCTCCAGCTTTATAATATTAGTAAAGATGTCATCTATGTAGTTAAACATACACCCATGTAGACAGTCGTATTTATAAAGAAGGAGCTTACACTTTAAAAAAATGGAATTATTGTGGACCTAGTCCTATCTTCCGATTTCAAAAACCGGTCTGAATTTAACTGCATTATTTTGAACTTGATTTTAGTTATGCAATGTAAAGATTTTAATTTTCAGTGTATTATAATATAGAAACATAATCACACTTTCATTTATTGTTTTTACGATATACTTTATCGAATTAATATTCGTATTTTTAAGCATTAAAAAAAGTAATTACACTTATCGACACAAAAAACTAAGTCGTCATACACATAACTCCCACGAAATTTAAGGACAAACTTTCAAATGGCTTTACGAAAAAGAATTTGACTATTTGTCATGTATCTCATTAATATCGTGATTTTAAAAGGATTAAGGCCTTCTGATCCAATAGTGGACCGTTTCTAGCTTTTAATGTTGTTGCTAAAATGATTTCCTTGATATTTCCCCAGGTTCAGACTGACGTATAGACTGATCCTCCGCGAGAAGGAGCTGCACTTCAACATCGGCGTGTACAACCCCAGCAAGGAGCTCACCTTCAGCTGCCAAATGTTGCTGCACACCTATTTCAAGGTGCCCGACGTTAGGCGCTGCCAGATCACCGGCATGCATGGCTGCATGTTCATTGATAAGGTAATTTTATTTCTATTTATTACATAATTCGATGTGGTGGCCTGGAGTTAAGGTTAAGGCGTCCGCTTCTCAAGCATGAGGTTTCGAACCTGACAAGTGCTAATGTCACTTTTTCAGAGTTGTATGTACTTTCTAGGATTATTTAGACACCACTGACAATCGGTTAAGGAAAACATCGTGAGGAAACCTTAACTTATAATTTCTAATCATAAGTTTGAAATCGCTAATTCGCCTTGACCAAGCGTGGTGATATGCTGAAGCCTTCTCCGTGTGAAAAGAGATCTTTACTCAGCAGTGGGCACTTATAGGCTGATGATGTGTAAAGTGACTACGATTATTTGAAAAAAAAAAACTAGAATTTTGACAAATCCCTCTCTTTAGAGTAAGAATAATTTATTTATATTAAATCTATGAGAGGCTAGGATTGATTCCTGGAATGCTTGATACTAAGTTATTTTCGTTGATGTTGCTGTTGCAAAATGAACCTTATAAATACGAACTTCTTTGTTGAACTTTTTACAATTAATTTTAATATTACCGATGTTTAATGACGTCTTTGGTCAAAGGTGGATTGTTATGACGTTAATACTTATATTGACGTCATAGTTTCTTTTCATTCGTCCGAGTTCAAGTGACGGCATGACATGTTGTCAAAATGTCTAAAAATAAATGTGTGTGTCATTTGCGTCATAAGAGGTATTGTTATAGCAATCATAAGTGATAGTTCTATAGGTCAAAGTTATTTGTTAACAGATTTTTTTATATTTAATGTCATTGCTATACTAATGCAGCTACAGATTATAAAATTTGAGCTTGTAAATCTATTAAGTATTTTATTAGCTACTAGTTTCTACTAGCTTCGCGTATAAAAGTAATGTAGGTATTCCAGGATTTAAAAACAACAGCGTTTAAAGTGATAGCTCGACTAAAATAAGCAAATTGATTATAATTAATATTATTATCCTTGTAGTACTCAGGAATATTGTAGCTGTGACATTTGAAACCTGACAGGCGCTTCCAAGGATCAAAAATTTTACCTATTTATAGAAGTATAGATAAAATGCAGGCAGCAAAGGCTAAAATTCAAAGTTCCCATAATTTCAGGTTTAGTCTTGAACAGTCCTCTAGTTACTCTAATAACTTACTATTTATTTACCAAGCTTTTTTAATGTCGTAACTTAGTCATGATGCTGAAGGCCAATAAAATTCTTCAAGAATTTACTCTGTTCATAAATTGTCATTTTAAGGGCTGATTTTTCAATGGTTAGATAAAATGTATCTGGGAAATAGTTATTATGCTGTCGCCTCAGAATATTTGTATAAGACAGTGACAGCAACAATTTTATTCCTCAGATAACATTTATCCGACTATTGAAAAATCAGCCCTAAATTAAATTTAGAAATATTTCGAAAAGCATCTTCTTTATCCAACTTTTTATATTGTAGACTAGAGAAGGCGCCGTGTACCAGGAGACTCGCGAAGTAGTGACCATCAACGAGTGGACGGACAGGATCTACCAGAACACGATGCAGGAGCACATCATCACCAACGTCGTCAGCGGACGCAAGATGAGGATACAGAAGTACAACTTCCCTGATACTGGTATGTACATTTGTTTACTTTATTCATAGAAGACTGGAAAATTAATGTGCTTACTTCTTATACAACAAAAGGCTGATTTTTTAATAGACAGATAAATATTATTTGAGGAATAAAATTGTGGCTGTCACTGTCTTATGCAAACATTTTGACGCGACACCATCATAATTGTTTCGCAGAAAAGAAGTCAAAAAAAAAGTCAAAAATCATTTATTCCAATTAGACCTTTACAGGCACTTTTGAACGTCAAACAAAAATTTTGAAGCTATATTGTCAGTCTGTCGGTCAGTCCTCTTAGTGAAGCTATTTGCTCGTTCCAAAGTGTAGATTCCGATGGAGAAGAACGAGCATGAAAACTCCATGGTTACTCTTTTTAAATCAGTTTCACATACAGATTCTTTTTACAAACAGTTGGTTCAATTATGTGAGAACAGTGTAACACTAATATTTAATCAAATATAAAAATAAAGTAACCTTAAGGACAATACACAGTCCGGAGCTGACCAGTCCCAACTGACGGCGCTCGTTCACGAGCATGACACGTACACCAGCATCGCCCAACTCAACCATATTATAGGGAATTAAGCGATCCAGCGCCCATGCCACCGCCAGTGTGACCTTTCAGTGAGCATGACAACTCCAAGCTGTTATAAGGACCGACATTCTGCTAGTCTTACCAATTATAATAGGTTACAGGGCACTCACATTTACAAATTTATCAAGTTATAGTTATACAATGTAATGCAATTTCACTAAAATGAAGAAGTCCCGTTCAAGCAAAATCCACTGGAACGTTATTTATTTTGGTGTAGATTTGCTATCCTGTGGAGCAGGACCAGCATGTCTCCAAGCATCTTTATCTACAATGTAATCATTCAGTGTGTAGTATGCTTTTCTACATAAAGTTTTCTTTACACATAATTTAAAATTTCTTTCATTTAATTGTTGTATTTCGCCTGGGATTTTGTTATAACATTTAACACAGAATCCCATGAACGACTTATGTACCTTTGCCAATCTAAATAATGGCTGACATAATCTATCTCTATGTCTAGTTTGATAATTATGTCTATCTGACACCTTATCGAATATTTTTAAGTTTTTCCTAACATACATAATGTTTTCATAAATAAACTGACATGGCACGGTCATAATATTGATCTCTCTAAACTTTTCTCTAAGAGACTCACGACGCTTTAGGTTGTAAATAGCTCTGATGGCACGCTTTTGCAAGACAAAGATAGACCCAATGTCAGCAGCTTGTCCCCACAACAAGATGCCATACGACATAATGCTATGAAAGTAGCTGAAGTACACCAGTCTTGCAGTGTCCACATCTGTTAGCTGTCGGATCTTCCAGACAGCAAATGCTGCAGAGCTCAACCGTCCTGCCAGAGATGTGATATGGGGCCCCCATTGTAGTTTGTCATCTATGGTTATACCCAGAAAAGTAGTTTGTTTTACAAATTCCAATTTATTACCGTTTAATAATATGTCACATTCGTTACTTTTAACATTTGGCAAACTGAAACGTATACACTTTGTCTTTTTGTCGTTTAGGACTAAATTATTAACTGTAAACCAATTATGAACCTTCGTAATAGCATTATTTACGTCGTCATAATTATCTGTCCGTCTATTTATTTTAAAAATCAACGATGTGTCATCAGCAAATAATACCATTCCCGGTTCACGTTGAAATAAATGAGGTAAATCATTTATGTACACTAAAAACAGGAAAGGACCTAATATCGAGCCCTGTGGTACGCCCATAGATATGCTAGTACCCTGGGAGTTCACTTTATTTACTTGTACTTTGAACTGCCTATCCTGCAGGTATGATTTTAATAAATTGAGAGATACCCCTCGAATGCCGTAGTGTTCTAACTTCAGCAACAGTGTCGCGTGTTCAACGCAATCAAAAGCTTTAGACAGGTCACAAAAAATCCCAATAGCGTCGTTTGACTTTTCCCATGAGGCAAAAACATGCTTAAGTAGAGCTACACCGGCGTCAGTTGTGCATCGACCCTTGGTAAACCCATATTGTTGGTCATGAAAGATGGAATTTATGTTAAAGTGTCGTAGCATCTGAGAAAGCATTAGCTTTTCAAACACCTTACTAAGCACTGGTAAAATTGATACCGGCCTGTAATTATTGGGATCATTGTCATCGCCAGATTTAAACAACGGAACTACCTTGCTAAGTTTCATCAAATTTGGAATAACTCCCTGATCTACACTTTTATTAAAAATTAAAGCTAAATAAGGCGCTACAGCTTCTATAAAAGACCTACACACCGCAACAGACATTCCCCATAGATCCTCTGTAGACTTAACTTTTATTTTATGTCTTTAAACGCCTTTATTACCGATTGCGGGTCCGTGTACTGAAATCGGAAGCCAGAACGGCATTCTTTAACATTTCTTTTAAGAAGACTAATAGAAAGTGCCGGAGATGATTCTAAGTCTTTCGTAGTATTAATGGGGATATTCTTGAAAAAAATTTCGAATTCTTGGGCAACTTCTTGATTAGCATTAACTCGTCCATTATCCGTATTTAAATTAAATTCCGTGTTATGCAATTTATTTTTGCCTGTCTCGCTATTAATTACCTTCCACGTAGCTTTTGTTTTATTTTCAGCATTCTTAATCTTATTGCCAATATAAAGTGATTTAGCTTGCCTACAGACTGTTTTAAATATTTTTGCATATTTGGACACATGCTTGCTGAAGGCTTCAGTAGTATTAAATGGTTTCATACCATAGAGCTCAAATAACCTTTCCCTACTTCTACGAATACCTGGTGTGGCCCAATCACAGAATACAAATTTACACTCAATCGTTTTTCTTCTTAAGGGGAATATTTTATCAAACTGGGTTTTAATCACGGACAGTAGATTGTCATAAATCTCACTTGGACCTTCATAATCATGTGATGGGCTGCATAATTTATGTTTCAAATTGTTATTTAATAACTCAACCATTTTATTTGTAGAAGAAGTACTGAATAGTATATACGTGAAGCGTAATTTTTGTTTAAAATGTGTTAGTGTGTGTATTGCAAAAAGATGTGATGTGGGAAGATTTCATAAATGTGATGTGGGGAAATCTCCCCACATATAGGAAATATAAAACATTGCTATATCCTACCAATATTTAAAACGCAAAAGTAACAGAGATACATTATCGTCAGGAATACCACAAAGGGTACATTGTTCACGGCAAAGCGGACGAAGCCGCTAACAAAAGTTAGTTTGTCTACGAATCAAGCCGCTCTTTGTTCACAGTGATCTGGAATCCATGGGCGGAGTACGCGAAAGAGATCCCGGACTTCGGTGACGACGAGTTCCCCAACATGGTTTGCGTGGAGGCAGGCCGCGTCGCCGCGCCCATCGTACTGCTGCCAGGCACTGCCTTTGAGGCCAGCCAGATACTGCAGGTATGCGTGATCTTCATCTGATTTTATAACAATCCAATACGTAACAAATAAACTGACCAAAGGTCCTTCGTTTTTGCGGGTGTCCATGGGCGGCGCTGATTGCTTACCATCAGGTAATAAGCCTGCTCGTTTGCCGACCATATAAAATAAAACATCATACGTATCACATAAAAATACCGATAATAATCGGTAGAAATTTGCCTACTAAAACTTATTTTGTGTACAAAAAATAAATTAATACTACCTATGTTCATGAAGTGCAATAAAATAAAATTTGGTATTTATTTTATACAATCAATAATCTCCCCTTAAACCTTCTTACCACCCCTTGAGGTCTTCACCGTGCACAAAGGGAGCGTTGTCGCCCACTTTTGGGAAAGACTTTATTAGACGAAGTTATTACACAAACTTCAATTTTTTTCATATTATTTCTACTAGCGATCGTTCCCAACGTCGCACAAGTACTAATACCAATAATTCATTAATTAATTTGTCTACTACAGGTATGTCATTATACATAAACTCGCTCTTCAATCAATCTGGCTATTACAAAATACCGTATCAAAATCCGTTGCGTAGTTTTAAAGATTCAAGCATGGATGCAATGGATGGATGGATCTGAATGTGTACTGCGCAGCTAATCGGCTAACTTCAGAGTCGCCAAGATACGTTGGCAGTATTGGACATAAGGCTATAGGGACAGAGAATGCGACTTTGTTTATACTATGTAGTAGTAAAAATTCTTTATCATCCCTTTCTGTCACCCATCGTATAATCTTGCTTGGGATCGTATAACTAAATTCGTTTATTAAAATTGCAGGTGATGTAAGAGACTGGGCGACCCACACAGAACGCAGCCGTCCACAGGAGCCGAGTCAATTCAGGTGTCCGTGTCATTACGTAGTCACACACCAGCCACTTAGCCAGGGCTCTACGCATCATTCCTCAACACTATGGCATATACTAGCTTGTAAACATTTACTGGTACAAATTAAGTTGTTTTAGTGCTGATTTCTCAATGGTTAGATAAAAGTTGCATGGGAAATAATTATGAAATTTGTATAACACATCGACAGCAACAATTTTATTCCTCAGATAACATTTATCTGGCTATTGAAAAATCAGCTCTTATATAGACATTTTTAGTCTTGCTTCTACTTTTTCTGATAGTTGGTTAACTCTGTGACGATAGGTAATTGGTAGAAGTTATTATATCAATGTAAAGAATACCTTCTGAAGCCCAGAACCTCAAAGAGATGTCACGAGGCGAGGATTCTGGTCAGATTTTTCGAGCCTCTAATCAGCTGTAGGAGTCAATTACAGACACGATTTGTAACTACTCACATTTTTGGAATGTTAGCTAATATATTTTACTTGTATGATTTAAAATAGTTTTGATTACTATTTCGTGTTCTAAGCTAGTAAATGCCATTTGTGTAAACTTTTACATAGTAAACTAGTATCCCAGTAATTTTTGTACTTTTGCAAATATCAGTAGTTCAAATATTCATAAATCGTCGTCATTATTAGTAGTTATAATGCGAATACGTCATCTCACAAGTAATTCGTTCGAATGTCAATTTTGTAGCGTAAACATATCGTGGGTTTTAGAAACCTTTCGATGTTCGGACATTTTTATTTTTTTTAATTCGACTTTGTATTTTTGGGAATTTCGAACATTATTTTTAACAGTTTTTAAGTACAATTTAAAGCATTTTTTTTGTAATACGTCACTATCTGTTTGTTATACAGAAATATGTATTAATATACCAACCGAATCCATCACTTTTCAAGTTACGATGGAGCAATAAATATGACGTAACATTTTTTGTGTTTAGGGTGTATGTTAACTAAATCATTCCGTATGTACAATTAAATTTACAAATATTTTATAGTACACGTAAAATACGCACAAACTTACCTTCATTCCATGATTAACCTGAATGTGATTTGTTTAATAAATAATAATCAACTTTGAACTTTATGTTGCACATAAAAGATGTAATTTTGATTGATTCAGTACCTACTTATGTATTTTTGACGGATTTTAAATAAGAGATAGCATCAACTGTAGACAAAATAAACGAACATTTTCTAGCTCAATGTGATCCACAAAATAATGTAACAATTAAACGAAAAAGACGTTAGTTTGTAAAGTGGAGGTTAATTTACAATTGTGTTATTGCAAGTAATATAATTCCTTTTCATATAATACTGTTATGATCTTGCCAAATGGTTTTTTAAACTTTTCCTGTTTTTTTTTTATATTTTCTATGATCAGTTTCACAATTTATCGATAACCACTAGGTTATCGATAATCTATCTGATTAGATGTTGTCGATTAATAAAAGAAAAACACCTGCCTAGATAATTTAGCAATGTAAAAACTTATATCTATTTTTTCTCTAGTATAATTGTGAATCTGGTCGTGTTAAAATGGTAAAATTTTGTGTATTGATTTCTTTTGTAAGCGTTTCGTTCATGTTTGGACAGCGAGACAGATCGTACGAAAATACAATTTTAATCAATTATCAACCAATCAATTTAACCCGCTTTTCACCACTTATGCCATTTCAAATAAGGTAAATGAAACTTATTCTGCACAATTCTTTATAAGTAATTTGTGTTCTAAAGTAAACGAAACGCTTACTTTAATATAAAAGTTGATATTTTAATAAAATTAAAAAATGGTGTGTCTACGACTAAACTGGCTTCCTTCTGTCTTCCGCTTGTTTTCTACTCTTGTTGTCGATTTGTTCTGTTGATTTTTCTAAGTATTTAGCTCTTAAGGTACCTCAGTTTTGTTTGTTAAGCCACTTTCCTAATGCTACCGTTGGATTCCAATGCTTTGATAAAATTTGAAATGAAAAAATTTTCTCAGTTTACAAAGAAAAGTGCCAAATTGTGGGTGGAAAATGCAAGACTTATGCACAAATGTTAATATCAGCTCAATATAATTACTTACATTATGTATACGTAATTAAAAGATGAGGTGCTAAAATTACAAGTTTTCTGTTCTTTGCAAAAATAGTTTATTTTGTGCTAAATAATAAGGATTTTCAATTTCGCGTTCGGGAGACGGCGCTAAAAGAATAAAGTTGTATCATTCCAATCTACTTAGCCGTCAAACATGTTAATGTTTACTGATAAATATCTGAACATTTAAAAATATTTATCTATCAAACTAAGGCTACACTAGCGCCGCAACTGGCGCGAATACCCTGATATGCTGTTATCATAGACTTGATAGCTTTTTTATAACTGAAATGGTTCAAACAAATAATTGTTATCATACTGAATGCCAACAGTTCGTCATGTTTCCTTCTAGCATTAATACTCAGGCCGCTTTAGTAACTTATTATTGTACCACTAAGTAACAGTTAACTATTTAGCATATAATAATAATATGGGCATATCATATCCAAGCGAATTTTCCATTTTTAACATAGAAATAACGAAACTTAAGGTATGTTTTCCTTACTTCAAAAACATTTCCATTGGTCAAGTGTATAAGAAATTGTCAGTGCTAACACATTCTGTACAATGTTATATGATTTTTTTAATGTATTTTGTACAGGTGTTTTTTTTTCTGTCTAAATATTGGAACGTTTTTGGAGGCTTTTAAAGTATACGAAGTTTAATGTAAGAATATGTACTTAGATATAACGAGTTCCTTGTTTTTAAATACAAACGATTGGGTAGGTTTTTTGTACTAAATGACTTTGTATTGTTAATAACAATACATAGTTGTTAATTATTGTTATGTATAAATATTAAATATACATTCTGTAGTGTCTTGATGCTCTCTCAGTGTAGAGGTAGAATTAAGATTAACTTCATTCGATATTTGATCCATAGTTTTTAAGTCAGTTTTTGACTTTCATAATACCTAATTGTATTTGTAAACTAACTTGCTGGGCCACCATGAATGGTACTCAGACAACGAAATATGCAACGAAGTGTACTTCCTTAGGTGCAATAAAGTGAAGTAAAATGGTAATTTTGGTTTTATTTTCAGACCAGTCCCAAAACTTCTTTTCCTGTCAAAATGTTTAGTATCAAATGAAATTACCCAATTCAGGATATGGCTGTACAGACCGTACTTTCAATTTACAATTACATTTTACAGGTTTTTATCGAAGGGGGTGGGTGATAGTAGTATATATTTTTTGCTGGCACATCTAGCATTTGAGATTGTGCATAATTTCCTGGTAGACTAAGAATAGACCGGTCCTAAACTGAACTAAACTATATTGTCTGTTTAAGTCACATTAGTCATACAGTAAGTTCCTATCCTCCAATTTGATACGAGGGCGATGAAAATATACCTACTTGATTTTTGCTTGGACCTCTAGATTTTGAGATAGTACAACATTCTACTCATGAAGGTTTCGGCAGCTTGTACTCGACCATTTGTAAAGCATCCGGTCCACTCAAGAGCAGGTGCAATTGCTGCTGCCGTATCCATGCGAGGGGGTATTAATCTCGGAAGTGTAAAATAAAATTCAAAGCAACATTGTAACACTAATTATATTTCATACCTTACATACATATTATAAAATCTAAAAATTAATTCTGGCTAGCTTCTGCATTGGTCTTGGCTGCTTGATCCCAAGCACCAACTTCTGTGAGTAAATCCTTCTTGGATTCAAAATACTCTTTGTACCACATGATATGGTCTTTCTTCTCTTGAACTGTGTAGAATGCGTTTTTAGACAAACCGACGCATACTAGTTCCATGAAGTGTCTGATTGGACCCTTCTTGGGGCACCAGCCCTCGAGGTGGGCATCAAGGAAGATGTGTTCAGAAAAGTGTACATTCTGCTCTTCTTCTAAACCTGGAAATTACCAATGAATACACAATGTTAATAATCGATACTATAAAATAAATAAAAAAATCTATACTATTGATATACAGAAATTCTCTACAGGACAAAAAGAACCTCACGCTGTCTTACCGCAACTTGGCGGGCACAAAATGACTTCATTGGGCCAAACCTACTTTTTGCCGACAATGACATTATCGCATACGAGACAAAATTATAGACTGTGCAGCTTATAAAGAAACTATGTAATATAGGCATTACTTTATTCGGTGTTGGGAGTCGAAAGCTTTCACTTATTTGACTAAACAAGAAGACAATAAAATACTTTTATGGAAATGAATATCAGTCGGCGGCGACGCGCACGCTGCTCATGAATGAGAGTCCCGTTATGGCTAAAACTAGCAAAACTTTGCTCAGTAAATACCTTGTTCATTATTAATAGGGAATTTCCAGATCTTTCCCTGTTCCGTCCACAGGATCATCTTCTGGAAATAGTTGGCAGGTTGCTGTGAGGTGGCCAGGGTCAGTTCTCTTTGCTTTAAGTTCTCCCACACGTCTAGCGTAGTGCCATAGTTGGAATCCTTCGCTTTGAAGATACCTAGCGGCTGCCCGCTAAATATGTTTACTATTGTTGGTTCGGATACTGCAGGTCTGTAAAAATAAATAGCGTAGTAAAAATAATATTAGCATGTCCGATGCGGTTTCAACCGATGCTCGGCGCGAATATTACTATATGACAAGTTCTTTTTTTGAGAGGGAAAAATCATCAAATGCCTTATCCCGCCCCGAGGTTAGGCAGAAGGGGATGTCAGACTCTTCCTAACTAAAACCGTTCCTTCTCCTGCTCTGGGCGGAGGCCGCGGTGCCTCAATGCGCTTGCTCCGCAACCCTGGCTGAACATCAGCCCTATAGGGACCCGTCTGTAGTGGTCTATTGGTTTTAGGAGGCGCGCGAGGAACACTACGCGCCGTACGCTCGATATATAACAAGCTGACCCAGCAAAGTCCATACTGTTTCAAATTGTTTTCTCTAAACGTTCCTGGACTTACACAAATATTTGAAGTCTACACTAGCCCCCGGTTTCCGAAAGGCCGACCAATGTTAAAATCAATTTAATCTCTTGTCAAGTCATCTGATTGGTTGACTGAATTAACAACAATCAATCAGATGACTTGACAAGAGATTTAACAGGAGATTAGTTAATTTTAGCGTTGACAAGCCTTTCAGAAACCGGGTGTTAGTCAAATCGGTCCAGCTGTTAGCGAGTTTTAGAGAGACTAACGAACAGCAATTCGTTATTAAATGAACTATCCGGAATTTATTTTTTATTTCAAAACAAACATTTTTTTTTTGGCTTCACAATACCACAGACTGTGCTACGAAGTTTCGCTCGCCAAGTTTATAGGCTATGTTCACCAGGGATACTAGGGATAATAAAGCTTCCCAACAGTCAGTCTTTGTTCTCAAAATATTGGTATACTACTTTACTACTATTGGAATACTATATATCATAGTATTATTTTTAACATTACTTTGGCCTTTGTGAGGGTGGAGACACTTATCAGTAACAACAGTTATTTACTATTTACACCATGTCTTATGAAATTCTTCAGGCTTTAGCTTACTTAATTAAAATTTTAAGCAATGATGATGTGATACATATCAGCTGAATACTGAAACAATTTCTAGTTTTGTACCCAAATTCTCAAGAGACTTTAACTGTCTTGAAGTAAGTTATAGCTTGAAACTTACACTTTCCGTCTCTCTCCCCTTTGTTCTCCGCCAGCAGGTTTGGCCTTCCTCTGAGAGTACCTTGTCTCCTGTGTCACTTTTGCTTTGGACACAAGACGTTTCACTTGCTGGCCTCTTGTCTCTTGTGGTTTCTGATCCTCTCCCTCTTTTGAACGGTCCACCTTCATACCCACGAGGAGATCACTGTAATAACAAATAATAGAATGGTAGATTTTAAAAGTGTTTTTTTTTTATAATTAGACTGGATACTCTGGCACGGTTTCACCCGCTGCTCGGCTCCATTTAATTGTACTATTAAATGGAGCCGAGCAGCGGCATTGTGTGTAGCACTCAAGAACATTGTAGCTATTAATCAGTGAAAGAATTTTGGCAATCCAAACAGCGGTTCTTAAGATTACCCCCTACATACAAACTTACAAACACAAACTTACAAATTTTACCACTTTATAATATTAGTTAATGTGTAATGTGCATACATTGATCATTGCTGAAATAGTTCTCATGTTGATGTTGAATTAAAGAATTTTGTGAGTGACTTGGCTAGGGCAAGATACTTTTGTTTTTAGTTATTGCTGCAAAAAGTTAAAAAATTAAATAACAAATGTAATTTCTTCTGATTACATATAATTTTAAGAGAGAAATCAATAATCCATGGCTGGTAATTTGGGCAGTGTGTGTGTCATTTTATCTTCAAATGAAACATCAAAATAAATCTCAGTTTTATGCTTTTAAACAAATGAAAATGAAAAGCTGTTATCATATTTTTGATACCAAAATAAATCATAAATACCTAAGAGTCGTAGATGACTGGTTGATCTTTCCCAGTACCCTGGACAGCAGCTCCGCCTCCGTCTGCTTCACATTCCCACCAATAGCTTGTGCTACCTCTCCAGCTGCTTTTGTGATGCTTTCCTCTGAAATTGAAAAACAATTTATGTGAAATAAACATTGTATAGACAATTTTTGCATAGTGGATGATACTATGTTAACAGTTATCTATTAAAAGATATAATTATAAGTACTATTTGTAATTGCTAGCTAGTGACATAATTAGTAATATGATTTGCCATTAAGACCTTACCTATTTTCTCTGTTTTAACTTCAATTTCATCGCCTTTCTTACGTCTCTGTATAACTGGTGCAGTAGCAAATTTATCTTTGTATTCACTTTCCTTTATTTTTGGTTCAGCCAACATCAACTTCAACAGTTCTTGGATCTTTTCAGTGGCATTTTCTGAGGACTTCTGTGTTACTGCTGGTTTTTCCTTAGATTCGGGCACTTTTCCATCGCCGTCTGATGGCTTGTCGGATAAACATCTGACTATAAGCCGAAAATCTCGTCTGAACCGAAGCCTGAAATTAATTGGTAATTAAATAAACCTACTCGTGATAAATAACACAGACATAAAATAAAAATAAAATTGTTTTTTACTATAGTACCTTGTCAGCATTTTTAATTAATTATATAAATATTTTATAAATAAAAACACAGATGACCACAATGATTGAGGTTATAAAATAGCTGTGTTCCGATTCACGTTAAATGACAGTCAAAATAATGTCGAACTCTTAAATGTTAATACCTACAATTCATGCGTAACGGAATGTATTTATTACGTTACGTTACGCATACCTTTGTATGAATTTTACGTACGATCATATTATTTAAGACATTGGGCAGTGAAAATTAATAATTTGAATATACATATACGTATATAATAAATATAACTAAATTCACATTATGAATTATAAAGTTATATTTTTATCATTTATTTTCACATAATAAGCGAAAATCCAGTTTTTACCTATTTAAAATGCCTATCTAGGTCAAGTCGCATTAATTTGCCATTAAAGGAACAACTTTGTATATTTTTATTTTCCACTTTGCTAAGTTTTTTTTTTCGTCAGGGAAAAATCATGTAATGATTTCTCTCGCTCAGGTTAAGGCGAGAGAGAGTGTCAGGCTCTTGCTGACTAAAAACCCCCGTTCCTTCTCAGTATATTCAATGTTCTCTGTGCCGAGGCCGCGGTTCCTCATTGCGCTTGCCCCGGCTGAACTTTTGTAAGGTATAAAAAAAAAATAAAGCCCTTTTTATTCCGAACCACATTGAAAAAAACAAAACAATACAGTGTTTAAATAGTTATAGTATGTCACGCAGTTCGGCGTGCCTCTTGGCATAGGCCTCCTCCAGCTCCCTCCATTGAGCTCGATCCTCCGCGACTCTGGTCCAAAATGGTCCCAGGGTTAGCCGAATATCGTCACTCCATCTGCTCTTTGGACGCCCTGGTTTTCTTGTGTTTTCTCTAGGATACCAAAGAGTCACCTGTCGGCTCCACTTGTTTAAATTGCTGCGCAACATGTGTCCTGTCCAGCTCCATTTTAGATGCTCTATGCGAGATATGATATCCGTAACTTTTGTCTTTCTTCTTATTTCCTCGTTTCTGATCTTTTCACTAAGCCGGATTCCCAACATGCTTCTTTCCATTGCTCTTTGAGTTTTGGCCAGTTGTTCTCTATGTTTTTCCGTTAGAGTCCATGTCTCGCAGCCGTACGTCATGCATGGAAGAACACAAGTGTTGAAAGTCTTTCTCTTGATGTGTACACCTAAATCTTTGTTCTTCATGATTTCTTTCAGCGACCAGTATTTCTTCCACCCGCTAGCTACTCTTTTGCTTATTTCTTTAGACATGGAATCCTCCGGAGATATAATTTGTCCAAGGTAAACATATTCTTTTACATACTCAAACTTTGTTCCATTAACCTCTATGTCGATTTCTATTGAGTTAGTCATTAGTTTTGTTTTATCCGTGTTGATTTCCAGGCCCACTTCTCTGCTTTCTTCTGCTAGGGCTTTAATCATATGCTCAAGCTTTTTGGGATCTTCTTCCAGCAGGACAATATCATCAGCAAATCTCAAGTGATTGAGGCGGTTTCCATTTATTTTGATACCGTTACTCTCCCAGTCCAATTTTCTGAATATGTGTTCAAGCACAGCATTAAACAGCTTTGGCGACAAAGGGTCTCCCTGTCTTACACCTCTGTTTATTGGAAAGGGTTCTCCTTTTGACTCTAGTTTAACCCTGCTTTTGCTTTCTTTGTATATTGACTTGATCAGTTCTATGTAGACCTTTTCTACGCCTTGTTCCTTTAGACTCTTCCAGATAAACGTGTGTTTTAAACTATCAAATGCTTTAGAGTAGTCTATAAAGCAGATATACAGTGTCTTCTGGTACTCATTATATTTTTCCAAGACTTGTTTGATCGTATGGATGTGGTCAATAGTGCTGTAGTTCTTTCTAAATCCTGCCTGCTCGATCGGTTGGTTTTCATCTAATACTCTGGTTATCCTTTCTAAAATTATTTTTGCGAAGACTTTGTAAACATTTGATATAAGACTGATTGGTCTATAGTTTCCGATGTCATCTTTATTCCCTTTCTTATGAAGGAGAATGATATGTGATTCATTCCACTGTTGTGGGATGACGCCTGTTGTTATTATGTCATTGAATAGCTTGGTTAGGATTGGGACTATTTCTTCTTCGGTGCCTCTGAGTAGCTCATTTGTTATATTGTCGGGACCTGGAGCTTTTTCTAGCTTCTGTGACGCTATGGCCTTTTGTACTTCCTGCAGTAGTAATGGCAATGGTGGAGCTGTTGTGTGGCTTGTATGGGGCTCAATTTTATCATTCGTTTCTTGATCGGTGTCATTGTTAGAGTAAAGATTACGATAGAAGTCTGTAGCAAGGATCTGGATTCTTCTGCGATTTGTTACAAGTTTGGCTCTATTGCTTTTTAAATTTGGTATCCAATCCATTCCGTATTCCCTTAATTCCTTGAAAGCTTTTCTTGTTCCTCCGGTCTTTTGGATTTCTTCTTCTAGTTTTCTCATTCTCTTTACTTTCCTGTCCTTTCTTATATTTGCTCGAATCTGTTTGCTTAGGCTTGATATTATGTAACGGTTCTCTGCAGTTTTTGGTTTTTCTGACATTAATGTTTTTCTTTCTTTTAGGAGCTCCATTGTCCTTTCACTAAACCTTACACCTTTATTAACATTAACTTTCCTTAATTTTGACAATTGTTTGTTAATGAGGTCGTATTTATCAGTAACACTTTTTTCTGAGTATACTATTCCTTTCAGTGTTGTGATGAACGAAGACTCCAAATTTTCTCTGTGTTGTTCTAAGGTCACATTTGTTTTAATATTATTTCTGTTTTTTTTTGTTGGATACTTCTTTAGATAACAGCGTACCATGCGGTGGTCGGTATTAAAATTTAAATTCTGAATAACGTGTGCATCATGAAAATATTTTGGTTTATTAGTTATTATGAAATCGATTTCATTTTTATGTTTACCATCAGGTGATAACCAGGTCCACTTGGTTTTGGGGTCTTTTTTGAAGACCGAATTAAGTAATATTAAGTTATTTTGTAGTAGAAACTCAGTTAGTCGACGCCCATTGTTACTTCTCTTTCCGTGTCCATATATACCTATTATCCGTTCTTCGCCGGGTTCTCGACAGCCAACCTGTGCATTGAAGTCACCCATGACTAAGAGGAAGTTATTATGGTATGTTTTTACAACATCAGACAAAGCGCAGTAAAAGCCATCGCTCTCGTTTTGCAAAGCTAATTCTGTGGGTGCATATGCTTGTACTATTGTCCATGGTTTATTGTATCTTGGAATTTTGATGTTGAGTATTGCTATCCTCTCTGAAATGCCTATCAATTCTTGTATATAGATTTTCAATGTTTTTTTAATTAAAAAGCCAACTCCATTTATGCCTGCTGTTTCACCTTTCTGGTATAGTATGTAGTCGTTACGTTCTGTTATTTTTTCGTGTGGTCTTCTCATTTCACACACGCCCAGGATATCAAATTTTATATTTTGTAACGCCATGTCTAATTCAAGTAAGCTTTCTTCTGTTCGTAGAGTTCTTGTGTTTAGTGTTGCAATTTTAAGTGTTTCAGTTCTTTTTGCTGGAGGGGTTTGGTCTAGTGCTCCCGCGGAGACCAACCGTCTTGGGAGACAATAAATTTGTTGTTTTTGTTTTGATCTATTTAATGTTGATAATTGTGGTTGTTTCCGGTTTTCAGGGGCCGTAGCTAGTTTTTTGGGGAGTTTGGGCAGGGGTCAGATCTTGTTTTTTCTACATAATTTAGTATGTTTGGTCTAATAATTGTATTTTTCTGCATTTTGGGGCGTGGATGGTTTACTTTTTTAGCTAAATCACTTTTAAACTGTGTTGTTTGGTCGGGAGAATCTGATGGTTCTCTCCTTCTTTTATCTCTGCTATTGTCCCCTGGTTTTTTCACTATGAGTTTATCATGTTTTAAGTAGGCAATATTTCCCTTCTTTTTTTCTTCCTCCAATTGCGACATAAGTTGTTTACGCTTTTCTAGAGTTTCCTTAGAGTAATCTTCTTTAACATATATTTTTGATGGGAACCTCGACTTATTCTGGAGTATAAGGTGTTTCTTTTTGTAAGGTATAACATGGTTCTTTTATAAAGGTAGGAAAGCTTGTACATATGCATAGATCTGGTGTGCTCCATCGTTGGCCACATAATCGCTTACCACCAGGCGTGTATGTGGTCAAATGAGATGACGTAACTAGCTACTCTCGTGCAGTCTCACCCGCTGCTCGGCTCCATTTAATCGTAGCGTGATGTTTTATAGCCTATATCAATCCGGAATATTTTAGTTAGTCAGTGAAAGAATTTTGGCAATCCGACCAGCGGTTCCAAAGATTACCCCATACATACAAACTTACAAACATAAATACCTCTTTACAATATTATAAAAGAAGCCAAAATTAATTAGGTTTAGGTGGTTGGAATGTAAAATAATAAAAGAACAGATGTCATTTGTAAGGCACATTTATTTGTGGACGGGAGTCATCTCCAAAAATAATATTATACAAGGAAATACACGAAAGACGTATTCCAAATAAATTCAAGTAGACAATGAACATAACTATACAATCAGAATTTTACGAAATCATACAAATTAAATTTTATTGCTAAAGATATCACATTTTTCTATATAAATGACTTAAATATATCTACTTAACTAGTCAATGTAACTTGAATTGTTTTTTTTATTAATAATTAAATACAAAAATAATGCGAACGTAAAACTCAGTTTTGCTTCTACATTATTTTCAAATGACGACTCGATTAGAAATCGATGATTCTTTTTGTATACGTTAACGATACATCGATTGGATCGATCGATTTATAAACTGAGTAAACCTGACTCTATTTAAGTTGCCGTCAACTTAAGAAGAAAATATAAAAAATAATAAATTATTTCCTATATTTCCTTACTTCATTTAAATAACAAAATTGCTGCAGAAATAACTACTTACATTAGTATGGAAGTTCTTAATAATGGCATCAATTTCAACTCTCAATTAAGAATGTAGCTTAAGATAAATGCGACAAGGTTCCTTTTCAAAAACTACGTAGGTAAAGTAATTGGATTCTTATTGAATGGCTCTGTACGAAGATGGAGTCTGCTTGAATGAACTCTCGAGTATTAAACTACTAATATATTTGCATTTTCGAAATAAGTATTGTAATAACTTCAGTATGGCATGTTGATTTACAATACTAATATGTTTCCTTTGTATAAATGTATAGTATTGCTTTGTCTTCAATAACATTAAGAGATAAATAAATCATTCATTGGCTTAGATACTTTCCAATACTTTTCTTGTTTCTGTGAATGGAATATGATTTTAAATGACAACTGAAGTACTTTTTTCATCTCAGCCAAAGATTTGTAAGGCACAATTAAATGCTGATATTTGAAAGTGAGTACTCTTAATATGTAAGACGTCTACATAAGTAATTGTAATTGAATAATTTGCCAACAGAAATGGACATGATAAATGCCATAGAGTTTTATGTCTTATACTTTTAGAGTATTAATATCAAATCAATCAAGTACAAAACTGTTTTAAAATTATAATACCAAAATAATGGTAACTTAAACTACACCTAGTAGGTAGAAACAGTACCGATAGCAGTACAGCGTCAATATTGCAATTATACATACTTAACAAATCGTTTACCTACACAAGATTCAAGTCAATGCAAATAATGCTCTTGAGCAACTAAGTAACGTAAGGCTACTCATACTTATAACAATAATATGTACAAAAATGACTGTCAAATTATTCATTATTAATAATAATAAACATTAACTGAGAAATAAACATTTGTCAATTGTTTTTTTTTAACACGAGAATTTGGTACGAATCGTGGTATCATACTTACCAATTAGGAGATCAAATGAACTGGTAAATTGGCAACACTATTAAGGAGAGGGTTGACATTTATTTCTTACAGAAGATGGACATTGTTCTACAATACTTTTTTAAATATTTTTTTATTTTGTAACGTCATATCTGCTTCAACACGCGTACTATAGATATGATAATATAAGAAATTGGAATCGTAAATCAATATTATGAATTATAAGTACAATACACACTGAATGTGATGTGTCCGTAATTCATTTATTTACATTATGGCACGCGTTATCACCTTAATATTAGCTTAAGTCCAATGTTACCGTGAGCTTCACTCAAATTACTACAAAAAATCTAACGTTATACAAACTAATACATATCTAGCACCAATCCTCTCACTGGCAGTGATAAATTATCACACCCCGCTGTACGTGAACATTATGCAAACAGTTACTCACAAGAATATAGGTAGTTTTTTTTGTGTAATCCTACTAATATTATAAACGCGAATGTTAAATGTACGGATAGATGATTATTTTTCGTTCATTTAAAAACCACAGATTGTAGGGATCGTAACAAAATTTGGCATTAGCATAGAATGTAATCTGAAATCACACATAGGCTACTTTTTAACCTGGTACTACAGGCTAAGCTGCTAGCCGAAACTACAATTTAAACATCAGAGATGCTAGGGTTCTTGCTAAGTTCTTATTACACATCATGTGCCACTAAACTAGATTCGGGGATTTTCTTACATACATGTTAATTCCCGTACATTAAAAAATCACTGTCACAGTACTGACCCTATTAAAATCACCGCTATTACTCTGTGTAACTGTTTGCGTAACATCACTTGACTCATGGAGTCGGGGCTCCATTCGAAATACCTTCTTAACCCTTACCTTACTAATTCACAGCCTATTAGGAACTAAGTTTTACGAAACCGAAGTAGCTGTACCCTGGTCGAAGCCACACTGTTCTGTTGGGTTCTCTCTGGGCAATGTTGACTGTGTCTCCTTTGTATAGTCTTGCTACTGTTTGCACGGAGCATGACATTTGAGATTTGCTGAGCGGACGGTTGCTCGAGTCGTCTCCAGTGGCGCAGGTTGATAGTAGACGGGGATCCTTCCCCGTTTGACGCGCCCATATGTAGTAGCAGTTCGGGGATTGTGTTAGGTACACCACCTGTAAAGAATAAATAATAGGTTTGATTATTAATGTATTAGGTACGTGCAAGCTGTAAATGTACATGAGTCTGTGTAGGTGTATGTGTAGGTGTTGTACTTTTCCAATTTCAAATTCTCAGCAAGATACCATATTTGAAAATAGACGCGCTTAAAAGTGATTTATATACATATGTCTTAGTAATTAATAATTATAATAAATTTGTAATTAAATGTAGTTTATTTTAGGTGTATGCGTGTAGGTAAATAGAGCATCAGGGACATTGTTTTTTTTTGAGTGCTGGATAATTATGACCATTTCTCTCCTAACCCGTTCCCTTTCCTGCTCCAGGCCGAGGATGCGGTACCATACCCCGCAACTTCAGGAACAATAGGATAGGATTTATATATTTGGATAAAACCCCTGAATAATCAGTAAGTATCAGATTTAACTAGGCCATTATTGAATGGTAAATAAAATATTCCCTGCGGTAACCGCATGGGTAATCACCAATTATGACGTACGACCACAGGGATTTACGTCCATATTGACTTGTATTATGTTAAATTCAATAAACTACCATCGCTTTGTGGTTACATGAACCTATTTTCTTCACGGTCAATGTTCCCTTATACTTACAGTAAATTTGTTTTTGTTATATTTTCTTAAATCTTTACTAGTATTGTAAAGCTAAAGAGTTTATTTCTTCGAATGCATTGCAATCCATTTGAACCAGTAGTTTCTGAGATTAGCGTCTGAGAAACTACTAGGTATGTAGTTTAAATGGAAATTTAATTTTAATTGTTGGTGTGTTTTAAGGTACTTAACTAAAATAGTATCTGTTTTAAAACTGAGGTAACAAAAACATCTCTATGGGATAATTTTTATCCCACAGAGTTGTTGTAAAATGTGTCTAAAAAAAAAGGTCGGAAAAGTATTTCAGAATTTTGCCAATTGTGATGCTAAATTAAATTAGAGTAGGCTACCTTATTATATACCTATTTATTTATATAATTTATAAATACTTATATTATAAATGCGAAAGAAACTCTGCCTGTCTGTCTGTCTTTTCTTCATGCCTAAACTACTGAACCGACTTCTGTGAAATTTGGTACAGACATAGTTTGGAACTCGAGAAAGGACATATTATAGTTTTTATACCAAAAATCTACAGCAAGTCACTATTCCACGCGAACGGTGTCGCAGGCGAAAGCTACTAAAAATATTTTTAGGTACTGACTACGTGTAGTGTAGTACACAATACATTACATACATAACTTTTTAGGTACGTATTGACACCGCATAATGTTATGTATACGAATATATGACAATGGAAATGATTCATTCATAAATATCAAAGTCAGTTAAATAGTTTACAGTGATTTAATATAGCATGAATTGTATGTGTGTTTCATTTATTCTTTGATATAAGTATTTACATTTCTGTTATAATTTGGAGTGCATCGTTTTTAATTCAGCTTATTACATTTAATAAAGATTTTATTGGATTTAATACACAAATCCATACGTCGTAAAATTAAAAATATATTTTATTTCCACAGTATTTTATCAGTTGTTTGCAGTGTCCATGCCGTGGACGATAACCACCGATATTAAACTTATCTTATGGAACGTTGACAGTCATGGACGAACCGTATTTAAAATGTGAGTCCGATATCACAAACAGATTCATCCCATCACTACGCAATGAAGGAAATGAAGCTCTTTTCAAAAATAAATATTAAATTATTAATGGAAGAAATTCTTGAATGCTCTCATTAAATTATTATCGGATAGAAGCATTTTATTGTAACTAATTCGGATACTTACTGACTGACAACTTTGCGAGCCATAAAAAGCCTAACTAGAACTTTGTTTTCAGGAGTTAGTAGTCCTAGGTCGTATACGCTTCACGTGTGTTAAAAATTGAGACAGAAAGTAGAAAAAAATATTGCAAGTATTTTGTATAGTTATTTTATCTTCCTTCTGCAATCCTTATCCTTAATTAGTTGGGAGTCTATGATCACGATACAATGTAAGTCTCGAATGGTGCTCAATGGTACCCCCCTTTTTATGTAAGGTGAAAATTATCAAATGGCTTCTTCAGAGTGAAAGTCAGACAGAAGTCTTCAGAGTCAGACTCTTACTGACTAAAAACCCCCCGTTCCTTCTTCTGTTCTAGGCCGAGGCCGCGGTGCCCGGCCGAAATGATGCTACCCTATACTTATTATATACTCTTTGGCGTTCTAATGTCCGGACAGCCCGCTTTTACAAAATATTCGAAAATTGAAAAAAAGTCTTTTCTATTCTTAATTGCCAGACGCGAGGGTATAAGACCATCCATATACTATTTTATTAAAAGTTCAGAATGCACTTGCATACAAAAGATGATGCAAATATTTCCTTATTACTAAGTAACACAGTATTGCAGCTAACATACCTGAGCATAAATTAAATAGAGGCCGCCTTCCTTAATCGTGACGTAATTGTTCGTCAGCTCGAACTTGTCAACGCTGTTCTTCGAAGACACCTCCTCATCGCGTATCCAGGGACCCATAATTGCTGTGGAAGAAGAAATTGAGATATAAATATATATAAATAGCTACTCTCGCGCGGTTTCATCCGCTGCTCGGCTCCATTTGATCGTAGCGTGATGTTTTATAGCCTATATACCTATCAGTGAAAGAATTTTGGCAATCCGACCAGCGGTTCCAAAGATTACTTCCTACATACAAACTTACAAATTTTACCTCTTTATAATATTAGTAAAGATATCATAGTCAAATATATGATATTTTACTGTGTCATAGTCTTTATTCCATAAGATGTGCAGTGTAGGTGAATATAGCAAATATAAAATTTGTATTTAATTTTGTCAGTTCTGCTTAAGGCTCATGTAAGGGTGATTCTTTAAATATATTTAATAACATAACAATACCATTATCCTTAACCCAATCTGTCGATTGAAATACATTATAATTTTGACATTTTAAACCGTATCATTGCTTAAAAATAAGCAATACCTACAGCAAAAATATTAGTCCTTAATTTTAATTTACTAACATGTTTAACATAGCTGGATAATGTTTAGGTAAATAATTTTAAGTTTATTCGCAGAATAACCCGTAAACTAGTTGAATCTCTTAGGTTGATCTGAAACATCCAATGTGGACATTGAACAGTTTCAAATCCCTAGAATTCTCTAAAGCTTTCAAACATAATTTCCCCTCGCACGGTACTTAGCTGAAACTTTGATCCTGACCTGAATACCTACTATTTTAAAGACGGTCATTTAGTATAAAATATTTTAGAAGGATTAGTAGTACCTAGTTATGTATTCAAAACTTTAAAAATGATACTTATATTATGAACTAGCTTTTACCCTGCGACTCAGTGCGCGTGGAATAGTGACTTTCCTATGTCCTTTCTCGAGTTTAACTACTATGTTTGTACACAAATTTCACAAAAATCGGTTCAGTAGTTTAGGCGTGAAGAAAAGACAGACAGACAGAGTTAAATATACGACGATATAACGACTATGATTGAACGTTAGGTACTAGTACTATCGCAACACTGCGGAACTGAAACTGTTATCACTTTCTTTTTGTTATCTCTATTATTGGAGTCAAAATATCCTTATCATTTCTACGTTACAAGCTAATTTAAAAAGTCGCGGTTTCGATAGTAACGATAATAAATAGTGACACAGTATACCCTAGTGACACCGTTCTTGATCTTTAATGTTGCGCATGCGCAAATGATAAGCAGCTGATATTCGGCATTAATCTTATGTTTAACAATAGTACTTATGCAAAATTATAATGAAATGCAAAATCAAAAATATTCAGGTTAATACGACTTTTTTTTTCGTATTACCGTGATATATTTGTGAAGTAATTAGGTTTTTTTTATTGGTGAGTAATTACTTTTTGGTATCAGTGTGCATTAAATTGATAAGTTGGTTATAATTTTCGTGATTTAGAACTTAATTTGGATTTGAATGTTAGCAGGAAAATGTTATCATTTTTATCTAACAATTGTTGGGCCAAGATCGGTGTGTTTGTAAACAAACTACTCACTTTACAGGCCAAAACAAACTCGCTTTTCTGTGCTTCTTTTTTTTTGGTGTCACTTAGAGCAAGGAAGGAGATGGGAATGTGAACAAGCGGACTAGACCAGAGAATAAGAAATATCACAGGACGAGACGTTGATCAAAATTAGTAAACATTTTACCTATATTGAAGTTAGCCTTAATGCCAAACGCGCGAAGCGGTTCGCCTCCAGTTTTATAATCCGAACCGTTAAGGAGTGGAATTCTTTGCCGGATTTTGTGTTCCCCGAAGGGTATTATAACCTGGGTGTCTTCAAAGCCCGAGTGAATAGGTTGCTTATGGGTAGGCGTGCTACATCGTAGGTCGCATTATCACCCATTCCGAAATAAAAAAAAATATCTGTCCTTAGTTGTATCATTATAAGGTCCAAAAGAGCAGAGATAATTTTGCCTTTTTTATAAATTCTATTTAATCATCTTTTATTTCTAACTAAGTATATGTACATTCTCTCATCGCTTTCATTATATTTATTCTTCGTTATAAAAATAAAGATAAAAGTTAAAAGCAAAAGTCCCAGGTCAATGAATATTTAACTTATTCAGACTTTTTCATTTGTTTCTTTTATCAGACATGATGTAAGAAGAAATTAAAACTAGCTTTGCTACAGTAGATATTTAAATATTTGAACATTAAAATTATGATATGTAAATATACATATTTTATGAAAGCGTGTCTGCCAAGTATTCTGAAGGGTATTTTAAAGTTTCGTTATTTTCTGGTAGGCATTACAATTTTCATTTAAATGTCAGACATTACACATAGCGGTCCGCCATTTTTTTACTATTATATTTATGTTAGGTTATTGTAGTATTTTTTATTGGTTAAATAATACATTGGGTTTAACTGTGTATATCTGAATAGCCATGGATCTAGCTCAATATTGAACATGAATAACATTATTTTGAGAATTAGAGTTATTTACAATGAGTAAACCCATAATATAAAACTTTAGTTCTCAATTCAAATAAAATTGATTTTAACATGTGCCCATTACAATGGCTATTTATTTACCTACTACCTCCCTACGTATTTTATTAAACGGGTCTTTTTCCATATACGTATTATGCTTACACCCACATTGAAGAAAATTGGTTAAAATTATTCTTCTTTTAGTTAAAAACGTCTTTAAACTTGATCATGAGCATTTTACGAGTCAAGTGCAGAGATTATTGTGGTTTAAAGGCAATCTTTTGCAATTTAAGCAGTAAGGAAGTGACTGAACTTTACACAATGCATTAGGTATCCCCGAAGTTATATTTTATAAGATTGGTCTGTAGGATCAGGAAGAAAGATATTTTTGAAACTTAGTTTTAACAAAAAAATCATGTTATTAATTCAGATTGATTCCTGGCTAGGTTCTTTGACAACTAGTATCAGAAATATACGTTTTTGAGTTGGCTAGATGGCGCTAACGTAGCAAAAGGCGTGTTATGCTAAAATAAGTACTGGATATTTTGAAGTGGATATTTTATAAAAAGTCATGTAATTATTGAGTGTGTATGTATAGCTTTGCAATAATAAATACTGCAAGAATTATATCAGTTGGCGACTTCTTAACAAGTGATTGCTTTAGATAACACATTTCCAATTATTTCATTATCTTGAAATAGAAAGTTTTAAGTGCGCATCATTAATGTGAGTGTACAATATTTTAAACTATTTATAGTTATGATAATGTATTTCACCGTGTTTAATTCACGAAGTAGGCAGACGCCCATTACGTGTAATATCAACTGTTTAGTTGTTTGCGAGTATCTCGTAAAAAGGATTATGATAATTGGATATTATGTATTTTTGCTTGATACTGTAAATCGTGTTCCCATCTGCTTTGTTTAATATGGAACGCATCTTTAACCACTCAATATACTTAGGAAATCAATAGTTTTTACAAATCTACATTAAACTTAACTTCTTGCAATTTCAAATGCGTTTTTTCTACGTTTTTAACGCATCGCATGAATACACGTGGGAACTTTTAAACTATGAACTTGATAAACGAATGTTTGTTTATATTATGGCAATACTCGACTTCCTAAAGGGAAGTCCCCGTTATCTCAAGTAAGCAACAATAGTGTGTACGCTATAAAAGTAGGTTTATGTAACAAATATATCATGATGATTGTATGTCCCCGTAAAGATAGGGACAATTAAGTCATAAAACCAGTTTTTGCTAAACATGTTATTGTCAAATACTTAGCAAGTAGGTAACATACATATATACTAAAAAAGGGATGAAATTATGATATTTGATCTGTTTTCTGCTTATGACTGGCTACTAATTTGCAGTTCCACTCGCTCTTGTTAATGTATAGTGATGTTTTATAGCCTTCCCTGATAAAAGGACTGTCTAACACAAAGATAATTGTTCAATTTGAAACAGTAGTTCCGGAGATTAACCCGCTCAAATAAATAAACAAAGTCTTTCAGCTTTATAATATTAGTATAAATTACAGTAGAAGGTCATATACGAAATTATATTTATATTTAATGCAGATAGAAACGCTCTAAATATTCAGAAATGAAAAAAATAGGCTCATTTAAGGTATTTTGTGAGGAGACTTTGAGATTGACCCTAGGGCATAAGGAACAGCTGTCGCACTACCAAAAAGATTACATACGAAACCGCTTTCTTAATTTTTAAATCAATATAGTCCTTATTGAAATAACGAACGCTCATTAAATATACCCTTACATCGTAAGAAGTAAGATTTGTTTTACGTTGTACCAAAACGCGTTTGTATGTAATAACAACAATTATTTTCGTTACACTAGCCCAGTTTTAGTGTCGTCAATTTGTTTCAAGGAAAATTTATTTGTTTGATAGACTTGAATGACTCGATCTATAGTCTAATATTGTCCTTGCTTTTAAATTAAAGCTTGTTGTGTACCTACATAGACTGTCTCCTAATAATTGAGCAAAGAGTACGGATACCAGGTAATTAAGGATGGCCATATAAAAAAAAGTCTCTGAATCTGGAGTATATACTCCTTGGTGAATGGCAATAGGCCTATACCCATTTATTCCTAAATGACGTAATGGGAGTGTGGTACTACCTACACTTTAAAGAGCATAAAATGGACCGTTTTCAGGATAAAAAGAGACCAAATGTATTTCAAGACTGACTGTTTTAATCGAGTTAGCCCACAAAGAAGAGAGTTGGTCCTTTTTGTTAGCATGCCTAGACAAATACTAGCGCAGCGTATCCCGATCGCGGTCAAAAAACGCGATGCTTGTTTCAGGGTCACGCAGTCGCGTTTTTTTTCTAATGGCGTCGCACAGACCAGTCTATAAATTGCTATGAACGCTGTCTACATGTGTGGCTTAAACAGATAATGTTCCTATTTCAAAAATGTCAAGAGACTTCGTTTGGTAAAAAGACGTTATGTATGACGCCATTTCAAATCTAAGCCGGTCTTTAAATAACTATTAATTAAGCCAGCTATTACTTGGTAGCAACTATATTAATGAATGTACTTAGATGATACAAAAGGAATTATGTAACTTTGTCTGGAAGCTTAATTATTATGAGCAGATTAATTGCGAACATACTGCCAGCCAAGTTTCTTTACACTACACAAAGTAACTATGTCATTTAATAGTAATTACTTTACACAGGATTATCAACTTTATTGCAAGTGTATAGGGACAAAAATAGGGTGTATGTCATGTGTACACAATGCAAATATCTAGGCGTATCCTGTCTGTGTCACATACATTATCATTTTAATCACATATTTACAATTGTATTAGTTCTGTAATATTATAAAAATTGTATAGCTCTTTTGTTTACTTAATTTTAAAGCCCAAACAGAATTTTAAAATTTTAATTTTAGAATACAAATAGTTAACATTTACGATTTAATTGCATGTTTGAAAAGGCAGGTAACACATAGATAAATAATATTTTAAATGTATTAAGTTAACAAAGAGGTTGACTTAATCAAGAGTTTCTAATTCCTACTAATACCAGTTTAATACACACTTCATACTTATGTGGCCGTTGCCTAGCCAACATGCATCATATGTAAAAGTAGACTACTAAACAAATATCAAGCTTACCGCAATACATTAAGAGCTATTTCTGTTTATATTTACTAGGTAAACAAGGATTTATCTGTTCAGGAGTTATTATTATGTAATCAAATAGCTACATAACTTAGTCATAGTATGTATTATCCGCAGCTGTTTTATTTGTTTCTAGTTTTTACTATATGTAATAATATTAAAACTGGAATACTTTATCTTTTTATGTACAAGATTACAACCAAGTTATCATATTGACCTACCTACATTGAATATGTGTTTGTTTAGGAAAATAAACATAAAATATAATTTCAATACTCACATTGGGTTCCCAAGTTAACTTCTTTCTGACCACCATTAAATTGAGCCACAACTAATTCTGTAAAACAAATATTACAAAATTATTGTCATGCATATAATATGACACAGAATGTTTATGAATTAAAATCATTCTAAGTATTATAATTTCACTAACAAATTTTTTATGTGAATAGGTACTAACCTTTTTGTAGGATGGTCAAGTCATAAATTGGAACATTGCCTTTGCCTAATTTTTTTTTCTTGGAGTCTATCAACAACAAGTCTTCCCCTAGATCTTCGACATAGAATTTTTTTGCAGTTTGTTGAGTGTCATCGTCATTAAAGGCCCTTGCTCTCGGCTCCCGCGCGTCGCCGTCAGCCGGCGGCCTTGGACGGGCCACCAGTGCACTCTGTACCCCTCTGTCCTGGTTCAAGTTGTGTAAGATAAAATGATCGTTTATCAGGTCCAGCTGTCTCCTCATCGATATCATTTCATTCCAGTAGTAGAACGCTATCGAACAACTTAATACCATACATATAACGCTTAACAAAAAATTCAACACGAACAAAAGCTTTATTTTCTTGGAAGACGCTATTGAGAACGTCGTATTTATATGCACGCCGAGGTCTGACGGTTTCTCTGCAATCAATAAAATACCACGTTATTTACATATTCGTGTCTTAAATTAATATTTCATTTTATAAACTTGTAAGTCACCTGTGTTGAGATGTATGACAGTCCCTTCGGGTGAATTTACTTTTGTATTTTTGCCAGTATTCAGAAAAATGTTAGCCGCACCTGGTGAGTTCAAGGGGACACCTTCGCTCATGTGGATTTTCCTTTCGCCATCCATTATAAATACTACGGTTGCTTGTTTATAGTACGAGGTACTACTACTATTCGGGCGTAAGCGTACGCGTCGTCGAAGATACCTAAACAAAGGATGTAAAGCTCAAATAAGTTCGCACTGACCGCACATGATAACCGCAAGTTGATAAAAAAACACAACACACTTTACATACCATGTATGTATCCGTTGGCACTGTATTTATTACTTATTTAGATTTTATAATTCTTCAGTAAAGTGTAAACTTGCACTAAAATCTTTCATTATAAAATAAAACCAGTTCTTTGACTTCCAAACAAACAAAAAGTAAACACAAAACACAACAAACAAAACTTTTCGCTCCTTCGCTCCGTTTCGTTTTTCGATACAACTTCTTATGGCAAAGGCGCGCACGTCGCTGGCTGCCTGACCGGTACCGGTTGCGCGCCAAATTCGAACTGAGCGTGCGAACTGCGAACAGCGATGCGATGCTAGCGAGTGAATGCGGAATGACCGCGATTAGCAGGCTGGGATATATTCACCGATGGACGGTAACGGATAACTTTTACAAATGGTACAGGCGTGCATGTTTATATTGGTTTTGTTCGTGAAACAAACTGAAATTGAACCAATTCAGCAAATGCATCAATGCTGACAAATTAAATACCTAATCATACGACTTAAATACTACGAACTATAATTTTAATTTGACCTACTATTGTCCTCCAATTAGTTGTTTTTTATGAACCAAAAATAAATAAATAATTAAATATACAAGAGTAAATTTAAATTGGATAGTAATAATTATTATAAAATCGTAACTTTAGTAATAGTAAATTAACCGGCAAGGATTTGGGAGTTTTTTTAAGTAAAAGTAATAGACATTATGTTCCGTTTACCCATCGATCACTAATAAAGAACTATTTCTCTCTTCTTTATTAGTTCTTTATTAGTGATCTATGCGTTTACCCAATAAGCTAATCAGTGCTAGTGTAAGCATCTACCTAGGTACCTACGTTCTTGTTGTTTTAGCACGTGGCAATATAACTGATTGTCATTAAAAAAAAATGCTGTTTGAAATTTAGAAAAATATCCTCAAGAGAACTTCAGATTATAATTTTACCTTTTTTACCTGAACGTTACCTTTGTTGTAATGAGTTAGCCTTGTTTCTTTCTCAAAACCCTTATCAGTCCAGGTAATTACCCAAACGGTTTTATAGTGTAACTTTAAACGTGCTTGGCTCTCTAAACAAAAGTGGCGTTTGGGAAGCTGTCGTGTCGTTATTATTCGGTAGTAGGTATAGTATTGTGCATTCAGAAACATTGTCGCGAATCCGCACTGGTATGTGAGACCAGCTGCTCGCGTCTCAGACGAAGTTATCTCGACTCGGGACCGATTTAGTCAGCTTTTAGGGATGCAGCGCCGGTTTTAGATCTTATCTTGTAGGTGTGACAAAATTTTATTATTCTTTCATACATGTGTTGGATGACTCAGTTGAAGATTATGTGAAGAGAGGATACGAGTATGAGCATTATTATTGTAGGTAAAGACAGAATCGATTAAATCGGTACTTACTTGAATAGTATTCCGTAATTATTAGGTACATATAGGATGTAAGAAAAATATTGCAATTGTAGCAAATACGTTAGTAAAAACTTTAAGACGTAGATTTAATGACCACGTGCAGGAAGAGGGTGGGTGGTGTTTGTTGTAAAAAATAAACTACGCCATAGAAATGGGAAATGCGTCAATACTCAGTCAGGCATCTAGTGGTCTCTCCCGCGATCCTATTCAAGCAGTCGTAGATATACTTAAGTTCATAGGCAATAATAGAAATAAATTAACGTTATACAAAATGGGGTTGGCGAAGACTGTAAGGGGTACGTCATCTAGTTGCGATAATTAGCATTTTTTTTATGTGATATGTCAGACGGTACATAAACATAAGGTACATGTAAAATGTACCTTCTAAGCAATAATAAAAAATAATTATAAGACGGGTTACCTGATGGTAAGCAATGGACACCCTCAACAATCGAGGAGTCACAAGTTGCCGACCTTTTGGGGATAAGGAATTTGCATTCGTGCCGAAGCATGGCTCTCCCACTCTCAAACTACATAGGTTATTTTTCATTTTTAATAACATTGCGTAGGTACAATCCCAGCTCCAGCCCGGACCAGAAGAAGTACGGTAACAGGGTGCAGTCAGAATATTATGCTATTAGGATGGCTCTTATCCAAAGTAACCTTTTTTTTGTAAATTACCTTCCTTTTTCACAATATTGTTACGTTCTCATCTTTCTCGTCGTTTAAAAGAATAATATTATTATACCCTCCTCGGCTTGCCTACACATTTTGAGCAGCATCAGTCGAAAAAATAATAGTGAGCGTGCATATTCCCAGTCAGCCCTGTGGACCAGTTCTATTTCTGATCGAGCCAAACTCTACACCATAAGATTTCGCAAAGTTATGTACATACCGGCCATGTTTTTACAGCAGGAGCGAGAATAGACTCAGTTTCCACTGGATTTACAGCGTGTAAGGTTCAAGTAGAGGTTAAACCCATGAAATTAAGCATTCCTTAGAAGTTGATACCTCTAAGAATTTACCTTAGTAACTAAGTAGATTTTTTTAATTTAAAGACCTATCTTTAGCTGTAGGTAATAGTTTTGAGAATTCTTTTTTGTCTAAAATCCATAAGTAATCCAATATCCAATCCATAAGTATTTACTTATTAATTTTTCTCGGTATCGACGTCGTACCGATTCTAAATTAGGTAGGTACTTATAACCTAGTTTTTTTTGGCATATTTAAATTTTTCCTATCTCAGCAAAAATATCTAACATCTAAGGAAGGAAAAAGGTTGATTAGTATATTATTTACTGTAATTCATTAGTGGCTGAATGGTTATAAATGCCGGGTGTCGAGACAATTCTAAAGAATATCTGTGCACAAGCACATAGCATAATAATATTCAATTTCTATGATAAGTACGTACGCAAGTATGAAGTAATACTTGAGACAAAGCATATTACAAGGATGGAAATATTTAAACTCTTTTATCAATAATTGCTACTCATAGACATTGTTAAACCTTGTCTAGAAAAGAGAAGGGCTTTCTTGGTCGTTGTCATAAATAATAATTTCTGAAACAAATGAAGTGGATCACTCGAAAACTGGAACAACAAACTAGTTGCAGTCAGGTGATCATTTGTATTAGCGAGTAAGCGACTGTAAATGGTATAGTTGCAAAAAAAAAATGCTTTGCCATTGACTTTTATAATGTTAGGTCTTGAAAATTGTCAGCCGTGGTTGCGGGGTAAGCGCAATGAGGTACCGCGGCCACGGGATAAAGCAGGAGAAGGAACTGGGGTTTTTAGTCTGATACTCTCTCTCTCGCCTTACCCTGGGCGGGAGAAGTTATTAGATGATTTTCCCCTGACAAAAAAGGTCTTGTAAATTGTGCACAAGTAGAACTGATCCGTGCCATAAGATTTGTTTGGATTTTTGCCCCATATCACGTAAAACTAAATAATATTTAGCAGATAACATCATCTCGCTACAAGAATGGAATCATTAAATGGAAGCACACAGTAGCATTAGAGCAGCATTATCTTTTCTGCACTACTCAGTTGGTCATTTTGACTTTAAAGACCGTGGAAATACTATACTCATCTTTCGATAAAGAAGACCAGGTCAAGGAACAAGAAACAAAAGAACTCGTCAATAAATTCAAGTTGTCGTAATATGAAGTGTCAGCGAAACTCAAATGATAATTGCCTTGATCACATTCATGTTATAATTACCTAGAATAATTAATGAGTGTATGGTTTGTAAAGAAATTAGAGCTTGCATGAGTCAGTGATGCCTGACTTGACTCACGCGTCAAACTGTACTTTACTACAAACCTTATAGTCATTATTCCAATAAAGAAATGCTACCGGCTTTGTTACACTAACCTCTTTTGTTTTCAATAATGACAACAAAACGTTTTGGGAATGTGATACCTTTGGGAACAATGACCTTATTTGATGAAAGTTTGAACTCTTTAGCGCTGTTCGCGACTTTCTTTAACCTTGTGTGTGAGAGCGTTTATTTGACAAAGAAAGGGGATTTAAACTTCAATCTAGATTTTCATAAATACAAAATATGTATTTCTTGCAAATATAAAACATAGGTAACTTGCTTTACATAGGTACTTAGTAGGCAAATACGGGACTAGTCTAGTATAGTAGGTAGCCTAAATTTTAGACGTGACATTTTAGAAAGTATTTGTAAGCTCAGGCTGTATTTTTTATATAATAGGTAGGTACTTATCTATTATTCTTACTTCAAAGTGCAATAAAAAAATAATTCAATGAAAATAATAAGTCTTATTCAGCAATTAAAAAAAGATACAAGATTTCGACTTTTTTAAATCAGCTAAATTTAAAACTAGTCATTCAACATATTTATTAATAGGAAGTAAGTAATCACTTTCGATTTTCAATCGTTTTGCCGTTAAAAATAGCGGTAACGCAGTATAGTCCACTTTCTCCGTAATGTTGCAATACTCAAAAATCATGTGGTAAGAATTTGGCGGCATTTGTATTTACATAGGTAGGTAGGTACTAGTTTGTGTCCTGCCAGTATGGCCGCCTGCCATTGCCCTAGATTCCCGCTACGGAGCGTTGTTGACATTCCTTTAAAGATAGTCTGTCACCTATATAGATTAATCAACAATTGATATTTGGATGCGTTTGATCTGTTTTTTTTACGTTATCAGTCAAGACTTTCGCCGATAGTTAAAGTAGGTAAATCGCTTTGATGTGTAGTTGCAATTTTTACGTTGATGCTCTACTTTATCGATTGGTCTAATTTTTGGAACTGAAAATTATTTAAAATCGCTACCCAAGTTTGCTTATTTGCCTATATCGCTGTAAAAGGAATTGTAAATTACATTATTGATTAATTGTCATTTTTTAAAGAATGTAGCCACTGTTATAGTTTTTTCGTAGAAATTATCTAAAGCCTATTTCACACAGGGCCTATGTGACATCCGCTGCGTAACGCTAAAAAGAATTGCAGTTCAGCAAATTCCTTCAGCTAGATTCACACGAAACGCGTCCAAACAATGTTAGTAATTACGAAATAGCGGCATCCACAGTTTGCACTGTGACTAGTGAGTCAGATAGTGAGA